TTGTTACTACTAGTAAGGCACTTGTTACTAGAAGCGATGCACTTGTTCCTGCTTGAACCTGTCTTAGGAACACTATCAGGTCAAACGACCCTTGCGCGACATCTCCCTCTGAGTGATGCAGCTTCCATGCCCACGGTTGGCGGTCGAAAGCTTGACAGCCATTCTTCTGCCAAGCTGTACCTGCGAGTGCGACCATGTTAAGTTTCCCTAATCTAGGAACCAAATCATTAGCGCGAGCTATCCTGTTTCCAAGGTAGCTACCTAAGCTACTAGCTACCTCTAGCGGCCTACTCCCTTTTTTGCACTTCTTCAGCTATTGGTCTAGCCAGTGGCCTCATTGGCCTACCCCCCCCTTTCTTAAAGAAATCGGCATCCCTGTGTGCAATTTGGCTGTCGCACGCCGATGACTTGTTGGGCGATCTTGGCTGTGCCTGCATTGGAATCATGATTAATCCTCCACCGAAAAGATGCGTTCCCGTTTGTTTACACTGCAAAAGGCACAAGCACGATCGCCGTGCAAACGAAATGAACAGAAGGATATCGACAAACATGGACGAGTACCATTCGACAACCTGTTTGCCCATGCTTGTGACTGGCCTTCTTGGGAGGTACTTCTGTCTATCGAGTCTATCATGTCACATGCTAAAGTGCTTCTCAGATTCAACTTGTTGGAACAAGAAGAGTCATGAAGATTCTACTCTTCAGATTCACAAAGAAACTACAGCTATCCCTCTGCCTGTGGCGATTGTGCCAGGATGATAGAGCCTAGGGCATTGCATGCACCGCGTGAAAACTGCCGAAGAAACTAACAGCCTGCCACAGCCTACTAGCAACAATCTCAACCTTGTAGTTGCAAGCAACAATCATGAAGCAATGGCCTCCAACCTGCTTCGCCTGGGCCTCCGGCGAGCCAAGGCATCCACCAAATGAAGGCCTTCACGGGGTTCCAAGCCTCACGAGCTCCTATAGATGGGAAACTCCCCCTTGTTACTAGTAGCAAGAACATCGCTACCAACAAAGTGCATCACTATTAGTAGCGATGTTCTTGTCACTAGTAGCGGTGCCCTCTGCTAGTTGGACGGGCGATCCGGCCATAAAATCGTCTGGTTTGGATGATGCGCTCTGAATAGATTGCCAAATCTGACCATTGAGGTGCGAACAGCCGTTCTGATTAGAGTCAAAGCCACGGAACCTCAAACCAAATGGCTCGCTGAATGTAACTGAAGCCATCGATGACACTGCTGGTGTTGAAGCTTTAATCTATATATAAAGACTTTTAGATACTGTCGACTCGACCACAAGATTGTTTGAAGCTGTACAGCTGAGTTCACCACAACCCTTTGATTTGATCCTGAAAGATTAACAACATATGCGACATGAAAACGCCCGCAAGCTGCAATGAACCATCTGGTTGACCTTCGGAGTCTACCATGAAGCCACCACCAGGTGTATTTTCCCAAGGTGAGCCTAGGACCTAGTGCTTTACATGATGCCCCATCGTAATTACCAACAATGCACAAAGAGTGAGAGCGAATGAACAAACTAAAAGCTCAACACGTACGTCATCTGCGTCCTGCCCAGGAGGCACTAAGCCTTGTTGCTCAAAGACCTGTCAGCTTCAGCAGTTCCCTTGTGAGTGGCGTCTTGGAGATATCGCACAAAACAGAAAAACTTAAAAGGACTTAAAGAATAAGATAGAGAGAGAGAGAGAAAAAAAGAACGGTTCAAGCCTTGGAGATGAAGACGTAAACTTCGCCGTGCTCCCAGGTGAGATATCCCTTCCTGGCGAAGGAAGGGAGATCCCCGAAACCACTTTGAATTAAGCCGGTGCGCCAAGCACACATCAATCCCGCCTGTCCCGGTCACAGGACTGAAAAATGTCCAACGCTGCCTGCACTAGGGAAAACTATCCCGCACTATCCAAGTGAACTTGATCGACTTGATCTGACTCGAATCCTGCCCTTTTCAACCCGCTTTGGAGTCGAAGATCGACATGTTCATCTCAAGCCACTTTGGACTCTAGTGAAGTCTGGGACTGGGCTCTGCTGCAGCTCTCAGGTTTCTTCTCCTGAGTCCTTCCAGACTTCCACTGCGACTTGGACTTGGACTTCTCTCCAAACTCCCGCTCCGACCCCTTGAAGTTCGATCGCGCCTGCGAAAGCTGCGTCGTGCCTCGCAAGAAAAGCAGCATGCCAGGATATGACAAGGCCTTGAACTAAACATTACTTCAAATGTCAGTATTATACAACTGAGAATGCTTTGCCGTGTTGAAAAGAACCAAAGTGAAAACATCTTTGAGAGGTGCTTTATGTTGAGAATCCCGGCACCTCCCGTCCCTTGCGCTCACTCACAGCCGAATGCTTGAGGACCTGCACCCGGAGCTGCAAAGACCCGGCTGAGGTGACAGCAAGACCAGAGCGGTTTCGAGGAAGTTGATGCTCGTCAGAGGCGACGAGGTCAGGTGAAGCTAATGGTACAAAGGCGCCACAAAAGCTGGCGCTGAGGCGTTCTGAGAGGCTACCACGAGGAGCCCAAAGACGGCCATGTAGTGTATAACTACCCGGCTCACGGGGCAGATCTATAAAGGTGTAGCCTTCAAGGAAGTGTCGTTCCCAGCCATCCACTTGCAACACTTGAAAGATCAGTCTTGGTGGAACAGGTTCAGCACTTGTCTGATCCACTTCTTTCTGGTCCAAGTGCAGTTCGAAGGGGTGATTGAAGACATAACTCCTCCTCAAGGTGTAGGCCCCACAAAGAGAAGCGCAATGTGTGCACATGACTTCTCCATTCCATGGCAAGGCCTGGCTTGATACATCATCATTCGTAGCCACCTCCCATTGTCGTGGCAGACTCACCTGGCACGTGGCATAGAAGTAGGGCCGCCAAAAAACACTCCTCAAAGACACCGGTTGGCTACAGCGAAAGAGGGCATGCCGAAGGCTGTCGAGACCACCCTCGACGTCCTCCCCATTCCCATCAGGCTCATAAGCCACAATCTCACCCACATACGAATATCTGGACATTGCTCTACCTTCATACTGAGAGATTGAGAGAAAAAGGCCAACGGTGCATATATATATATATATAATATATATATGTGTGTGTGTGTTTGTTTCTTTAATATGTGTGTGCAAATATACTATGTTATATCACAAATGTGCGGCTTCTTGAGCTTGCAGCACAGCTCTAGCATCGAAGTTGTAAAAGGAATTAGATCCATGGGGGGCTTGTTGCTTAGCTCGCTTGGAAATCCAGTCCCGTGGAAGCTGCGTGATACAATTGGCTCAGTGTGGTCATCCCAGAAACTTCCACAAAGTATCAAAGGAAGTTCGGCCTGCAAGGCTTAGATAACAGTTATCAGTTACTCTTAGTTTGCAAGTTCGCTCTATGGAAAGGAACGATCAACTTTGAAATCGTGGCTGACCCACCTCATGTCAAGAATTCCCGACTTGACAGCATGTTCCGGACAACAACCATCTCTTACTGCCGACAGCGTTCAAGCACGACTGGCGTCATGTTGAGGATGCAGCCTTGTATTGATGCCAAAGTAGAGCAGGGAAAAATATGCAACAAAGAAGTGCAAGCTACTAGTATCAAGAAGCCACTAAGGTGGGGGCCATTACTACTAGTAAGAAAAAGCTATCAAAAACACTCCAGAGTTACCTAGGACTGCTTTCTGGGCCTCACAGTGTCAGAAGTCATCAACCCAAAAGCTGTTCAAGACCCCCATTGCTCACCAAACGGGCCACACGATCAAACGAGTGCCTTCAGCAGTGACAGATTTTCCAAAGCTGACTTCATCCTGAAGGGTGACAGGGCGGATTTGGTTTGGCGCGCCTGGGCCTAGATTCTTTAGAACTGCGCAATTGAACACGTTAAACTGATTCCCCCCCAAAAGATATCAATAAACAAACGCTCCTCCAGCAGTTTAAGCTGTAAAACCTCATGTAAAAACTTATGTCATGAAGCAGTTTGCTAGAACTAACCGAGCTAACCGACCTGATAGTATGGTTCCAATTGCATCTCCCACTACGAGTCCCACTCCGACCTGTCCTGGGCAAATGACTTGCATTTGCATTTGCCGTCTGTGTGAAACTCCCTGCAAAGTTGGTGATGTCCACAGGCCTCAGTTGCAACTCAAGACGTTGGTGATCCATCATAGCATGATAAAGCACAAAAAGGCCTCAAAGGCCGCCAGGTGGACACACTGCCAAACCCCGACTCTCCCACCCAAAAAGAAAATGAAAATTAGATTGTTTAAAAGATAACATGAAAAAAACACTATGAAGAACATATATCTTTAAAAAATCTCATAATATGAATTCTGAATAGCGACAGCCTCCAACCTAAGAGCGAAGACGTCCAACCTACTAGCGATGGAGGCCTCGATGGCCTCCGAACTACGAGCGATTGCCTCCAACCCAATAGCGATGGCCTGCGATGCCCTCCAACCCAATAGCGATAAATCCTTCCAAGGCCGACCCATAGATCCGTTGGATCCATAGCGATACTCTTGGGTCGGACGCAAGTTCTACGATGCATCAGCTGGCTTCCCCGAGAGGGCTGCGCAGGATGTCGCAGGCATTTACCGCTATGTAGAGTACAACCTGTACCAAAATGACATGCTCAATTGCAAAAAGTACGAGCATTGGAGTTTCCTCAGTCGTGGCGCCCACCTTTCTCCTCCATTCTTCCACAAATGTAGTTTGTAATTTTGCATAGGCAAGTAGGGGAATGATTTGTTCGCTGCTCACAGCATTGGCTTTGATTTTAGAATGTTCTAGAAGCCCCCAACATTGGGTTCTTAACACACATTGAGATTGGCTTCTGCAAGTTCTTGATCCTTGCAAGGTGTTCTGTAAGTGCTGCGTAAGTATTGTCTTTCATTGTCTTTCCCTGCTTGCATGCGTCACTGCATACTCAGCTCCCCTATCCGCTATCCAGGCTCTCACGGCTCTTTCAAAGCTCTTAGGCCTCGACTGTGCACCAGGCGTGTAGGCTATCCGGGTGTGCGAGAGCAATGGCACCTGGAGCCGAGTCAGTCCATTGCCCCTAGTAGTGTCCTTCGATACTCAGATGATACTCCATATCAGGACACTTTGCTCCCGGTAGCGATGCCAGGAGCCCCTAGTAGCGTCCTTGCTCCTAGTAGAAATGCCCTTTGCTACTGGTAGCGTCCTTGCTCCTAGTAGTGAGCTACACGTGCATGAAACATCGACATCTTGAAGAAACGCAGATTCGTGCAACCGCAACCGACCACTCAAGATGAGACGCGGCAAACATATGCAAACGTGGTGACAAGTCGACACATCTCTCGATGACTTGAATCTTGAAGACGTGGAGAGGAACTAGGACAGATCCCATCTGCGGAACCTGATAGCTGCTGATCCATTCCTGTGCCAACCGAATCCTCGGAAATGTTGGCGTCCTTTCTTGAAATGCAGAATCGGAACACTTCCTGAGGTACGTACCCCCTGCCGGTGCTGGCAGGTGGCACAACCGGGGCCTCAAATGTGCGAAATGTTTGCGAGGTAGGGTAGGTAGAAACCTGCTAGCCATGGCCTCCAACCTACTAGCGATGGCCTCCACCTAATACCGATGGCCTCCAACCTAATAGGGTAGGTAGGTAGCTAGGTAGGGTAGTTCAGACTGAAAGCTGCATGGAGTCGGTGAGATCCCGACTCCACTAGGAACTGGAAGAGTCTGCCACGGAACACACAGAAAAGGGTGATGTAGACAGGCAGGCCAAGTCAGATGTCATTTTTCCAAATTTGGACAAGGCGTCGTTTGTTCAAAACGAGAGCGCAAACCTTTTGAAGCGAAACACGGTTGAGCCCTGATTTCTTTGATCCGGGCGCTGCCCTGTGACCCGAGCTTCTTGGAGTGAGTATGGGGATTGGCTTGAAACTGTCATCCTTTCATCTCTTGTCTCACATATCTTCTTTTTGTTTGTATTCTTTTTCGACTTATCTATGTATATATATATATCTCTCTCTCTACACTCTCAATATATATATATGTGCGTATTCTTTCCGTTGGCGATGGCAAGAAGTTCCGGAGAGGTTCAGGTCTTCTCAGCCACACAGCGGAAGCCCACAGTGCCGGCACGGTCCAACGAGGGAGCCTGATCCGATCAGAGCTATGCAGCTATGCTTCATGCAAATAGGTCACACTTCTGCCACCTGTTCTAAGTTTGGGTAGAACTTACGGCACTACTAAAAAGGACGCTACTAGGAGCAAAGGGCATCGCCAGTAACAAAGGGCATTACTACTAGTAGCATTCTTACTAATTATATACTAGTAACAAGAAACCACTTATGGCACCTACGCTCATTCAAAGTTTTGCTGCCATGAAGCCATGAGAAGATACTTGGCATGAACCGTGAGGCGGTACAAGCTGGCGTAATCCTCCAGGAACAACTGGCATCCCTACTAGGAGCAAGAAGCTACTAGTAATCCTCCAGGCGATGAAGGCTACATCCACCCTGCACTCCTTCGCCCGCCACACATGGCCGACGATCGGCAAGTAAAACCACTCTCAACCCTTCTTGAACGTCTTGACGATGACAACGGAAAAGGGGGTGGGCTTGGGTGGATCCCTTAAAAGGAAGCCATACTAAAAGTTACTCCACTTGAAATCTATATCTATCCCTTTTCCTTCCTTCCTTCCTTCCCTTCCACTGTTTCCAAATATCCTTTTTCCTTGTTTTCGTTCCGGAGATCGCTGGAATCCAATCCGCTTTTTCTCGGTGTTCCGGTCCACGGCTCCTTGGGGCCGAAGAAATGATCCCCGGTCCACTTGGCATCCCAGGCGCCTGACGTCACGGAAGGCAGCCGAGACGAGATGCTACTAGTAACAAGTGCCACGCTAGTAGTAACAAGTGCCTTACTAGTAGTAACAAAAAGCTATTAGAATTGAATTAAATTTGAATTAAAATAATAGCTTCAAATTTAATTCAATTCTAATAGCTTCTTGTTACTAATAGTAAGGCCCTTGTTACTAGTAGCGATGCACTT